AATTATTATTCACCATAAAATAAAAAATAGAATTGCTACATTGCCCTTTTAGTTTGTATCTTCGGGCACCTTTTCTATTGTATATAATATCTATCTATCTATCTATGTAATATTTTATATAAAGTTTTTATTAAATGTGATGCATGCTGATACTCATTTATTACCTTCTTGAAATCAGGAGTCATATTGTAATTACTTCTACTTAAGCTTTGACTATACTGTATTATAAAAGAGAGTACATGTCTAGTAATTTTATTTACTCATAAATGTAGACTGTATGACATGATGCTTCTTGAATTGTTAAGCCATTGTGATTTACTTAAATTTTAATATTATTTACATTAAACTATTGCAAGTTTGTTTCAAGTCTACTTTCTATAAAAAATAGAAATAGAGAACCTACACCATACACAGCATAAAAATAGAAATCCAAGATTTTCCATATCTCAGACTCAGTGTATTTAGAGATAATAAAACCATGTAGTCAAAATGCACTTAGAAACAAAACAATAGACACATGACAACACAAACTGCTTAAATTTTCATTGTATTTATACTTCATGAAATAGTTCTACATGCTACAAAAATAATTGTGAGTCTATTATGCTGAATTAAGTAAGAATATGGACAAAATTATGGGAGACTATTTTTAAAAGGCACCAACAATATTTAGTAATTAATATCATATTTCAATGTGGACAGGTTTTTGGTAGAGAAAAATAGTTTTGTTGCCTCTTATTTGCTGATTTTTCTAATGTACTGGATCATGTTCTATAACCATTTTCCCAGATGGCTGGAAATAGAAATTTCTCCTTTGTTCATTCCTGTATTTCTCTATGACCATACATAACGCCTTCCTCTTTTTCTTTCCAAACAACAACAGCACCACCAAAATAAGATATAACCCCCTTTATCTCAATTTCCAATGAATTCACAAAGGGTGAAAATTTGCTAAGCAGTGATATCACAATTTGGAAGGACATGATAAGGCTGTTAAAATACATTTTTGATAAATTTGTTTAAATTTTTGATGAAAGAACAAACCTAGAAAATACTAGTAATGTTATCTTAACCCAGAAAGAGTGTAAAACTTCTGATAACAGGTTTTGTTACTAAAATATAGTGTCCTTGAGGAAACAGTGCAAAACAGAAGACAGAGAATAAAAATATACTGAAAGCAAGAGAATATGTTCAGAACATTTCTGTAGTTCCAATGTGTGGGTCTGTCAACATTTTTTGTGTTGGATGATGTATTCAAATTACCAAACCATCTTCTGATAAGCTATTTTGTTTTCTGATAAAGAATATATAATTTTCCATGCCTGCCTGGCAGCACAAAGTCCTGAGTTCTATCCCTGGTATGGAAAAAAAAAAAGAGCAAGAGAATATGTTCAGAACATTTCTGTAGTTCCAATGTGTGGGTCTGTCAACATTTTTTGTGTTGGATGATGTATTCAAATTACCAAACCATCTTCTGATAAGCTATTTTGTTTTCTGATAAAGAATATATAATTTTCCATGCCTGCCTGGCAGCACAAAGTCCTGAGTTCTATCCCTGGTATGGAAAAAAAAAAAGAGTAAAAAATTCTCTTAAGAGCAAGAGAAAATATCATTTGTGTTTTCAGTTGATATTGAAACTAGGGTCTCACATATGGCAAAATAATTCTGTAACACTGAGCTACATCCCCAGGCCCGAGAGTAAAAAATAAGATGTCTAATAAAGTACTACAAATTAGGCAATTTTTATTACCAGGAGTATGATCATGATAGAAAAATACCTGAACTCAATCAATCAATTATTGCATTTTTCCAATAGTAAAAAAACTAGCATTAAAATTTTAACTTATTAATCAAACTGTTCAAATTGGGAAGTTGAAAACTTACAGATTTAGCACTAACATATCAAAGCAACTTTGTGTCTGTCATTCAAAACGTTATACGTTGAGTTTCAGGTGCACTTTCAAGTGAAAAGATTTTACTTTTGTACCCAAAATGTGTCATGTTTCATGGTTGTTTAAATAAAACCAAGCAATACAAATTAATCAGATCTATGTGCTTAATATAAATATTAAAAGATCACCTCTTTATAATATCTTAGTGCTATCTTCGGGTTATATTGAAGAGAGTTAAATTTGAAAAAGTCTGCAGTTTTTATGACACCCAAGGCTGATGAAAGATATAGTTTAAAATTCAATTTCTAAAAATGTACCCAGTGAAATAAGGAGAAAATCATATAAATATTTGAGTCAGGCATTCACCTTAATACAAATGGTCTTCATGTTTTCATCTCATTACGCCTTTGCCAATATTGTCTCACAAATGCACGGGGCTTCAGATATGACACAGACAGATTTAGAAATGAATTTGAAGAAAGACAGAAAAGAGTGTGCTGCCCATGAGCCAACTGCTGTCCTACCGTGTCACACCTTACCGTTCCCCCAGTTGAAAAGTACCGCCCATGAAAATTTTGAAAGATGAAATGGCTTAGGAAGGAGCAGCCTCATGAAGCTAGCCCTTTCCACCTAAGGCAGAAGCATTCATTTCATTACACCAGATCCCACCAGGCTACCCCAGGCTCTCCCAGGTTCCCGCTGGCTCGGGGCTGCGGAAGCCCCGCGGGGGAGCCGATCACAAGCTCACAGGGCTCCTTGCTGGGCAGCGCCACAGGCCTCCGAGGACCCTGTGCGCGGCTTCGTGCTCTGACGCGCCCCCTCGCAAACCTTAATAGGTTTGCATTTAATATGTTTGTATTTTGCCCAGAGCGCCCCAGCCCTTGTGGACCTCAAAGCTTGCACGACTGACTGCACTCCCGCGGCTCGCGTGCAACACCCCTGCGACGGCCAGCAAGACCGCCCCTGCGAGCCCCTCTGCCCTCGCCATCCATTCAGCACCTCTGCTCCGGACTCACGCTGCACAGACCCAAGCTCCTCCAGCTCCCTCAGCACCTCCGCGATCTCGGAAAAGGGCCCTGCCTGACAGGAGGCTGTAGGAAGAGTGCTGCAGAGATGGCTTCCCTCCTTGCTGAGTAAAGGATCCAAGACTTTGGAGTTTCCAAAGACCCTGGCAGAGGATTTTGGTGACACAGTACCTCTGCTGTCTGGCCTCCTTCAAAGGCAAAATTACGAAAGTTTAGCTTAAAGATCTTAATTGGCTTTTATTTGATACTCTGAAAGCAGGCAGCACCTCGTTCTGTTGCTCCAATGAGACGAACTGAGGAATTGGCATCTATAGACAGAAAAGGGCTCAGGAAAGCAAAAACAGAAAAAAGAAAAAAGAAAAAAAAAAGAAAAGAAAAGTGGTCATTTTTTAAAAGAAAGATTTAAGCAGGAGTAGCTTCCTAAAACTGGCACTTGAGGGGTATTTGACATTTTTCTCCACGTTTCTTAGAAGTTCCGATAAACTACTTGGTTTTGCCTTGAAACTTTAGTGTAACTCCATTTTGTCTTTTTAAGACTGGTGTCGAAGTTCATTAAAAAACAATGGCTTATGTATTTCTTTATGATGTTTTTGGATTCCCAAGGATTGAACCCAGGGCCTTTGGCTTGCTTGGCAAACACCCTGTATCCCTGAATAACAGAAAAGATTTTGCTCCTATAAATGTATTTACATTCCTGCAATAATTCCATAGCACACACACAACACTGGCTTCATGCTATTGTTTTTATTTTATTTTTTAAATTTAGTTCATTGATACATTCTAGGCATGCAGCACAGTCCCATTCATCATTGGGATCTTGTACCTTTACGTGACAAGTCTTGGTTCTTATTTTTTCCTCTTGTCCCTCCCCTCCCTTCACACCCTCCTCCCCTCCCCATTTACCAACATTTTATTTCCATTTTCTCATATTTTTTTCTTTTACCTTATTCCCTTTCCCCTACCCTTCCCACTTTCCCTACACCTTTAGCCCTTTTCTTCCTGTTTCACATTGTTAATTATCTCATTAGGATCTTTTGCACTATTATAGTTTTTCACACTAGAGAAACTATTCAGTATTTACACATGTGTGATTTATTTATTTCACTTGGGAGCATATCCTCAAAATGTATCCATTTTCCTATGAATGAATCTATTTTCTCATTCTTTATGGCTGAGTAGTATTCCATTTTATAGAAAAACCACATCTTCTTTATCCAGTTTCCAACTGATGGGCAAATGGGCTGTTTCCAAGTTTTAGCTATTACAAACTGTGCCACTATAAATATAGGCGCTCATATATCACTGTGATATGATTCTTTTAATTCTTTTGGAAAGATACCCAGCAGAGTGATGGCTGGGTCAAATGGAACCTCTAGTCCCAGCTCTTTGAGGTATCTCCACATTGATTTCCATAGTGGTTGCACCAGTCTGCACTCCCACCAACAATGGAGAAGGGTTCTTTTCTCCCCATAACCCCGCCAAGGTTTGTTACTGTGTGATTCCTTGATAGCAGCCATTTTTTTGTGGGGTGAGGTAGAATCTCAGTGTTGTTTTCATCTGCATCTCTCCAGTGACCAGTGAGGTGGAACATTTTTTCATATATTTATTTGCTGCTTTTAATTCTTTGTCTGAGAAATGTCTGTTCATTTTAGATACCCATTTTTGAATTGGGTCTTTATATTTGGGGGGGCTAATTGTTTTAAATTCTTTATATATTCTAGATAATAGTCCTTTTTCTGAGGAGCCACTGGTAAAAATTTTTTCCCCACATTTTGGGTTGTCTCTTAGTTCTGCTGATGGTTTCTCTTGCAGTCTAGAAGCTTTTTAATAAGATGATATCCCAGTTGTTGATTCTTTCTGCTAGTTCCCATGCTACTGAGGATTTGTTCATAAAGTCTTTTCCTGTGCTGATGTCTTCAAGAGTTCTGCTTAACTTATCTTCCAGCAAGTTTAGTGTTTCTGTTTTAATATTTAGATTTTAATCCACTTGGATTTTAATTTAGTGCATGGTGAAAGATAAGGGTCTAGTTTGAATCTTTGGCAGGTTGAGATCCAGTTTTTCCAACACCATTTATTAAAGAGGACAAATATGGAGCACGTCACCAATTTGTTATCCTTGCACAGGGGCCGTGCTAATCTTCTCTGTGTCGTTCTAATTTCAGTGCATGTGCTGCCGAAGCGAGCACAGCTTCATGCTATTTTTAAGGCATCTAAACTAAGCTATTCCGTAAGAGTAGAAAGGTTTAAATAATTTTCTTTTTTAAATACAATATTTAGGTACTAATTAAAGTAATTGAATGGTGCTGTGTCTTGTGTCTAGATGTCCCCCAAGGTCTCATGCAGTGTTTCTTCAGGTGGGAGAATCTAGTGTGTGGTGCTGGCATTAAGGCTGTGTGGCTAGGACACCCTACACGAGTGGTTGGTTTGGCTCCGCCCTAACCCTGGTAGTCCGAGGAGGATGAAGTGAGCAGACAGACGCTGTTAAGGTCTATTCTTGCTTTTGCTGCCTTCCATTGCTGTGGCTGTTTCTCCTCTGCCATCCTGACTGGGAGCCAGCAGGTCATGGCCTGAAACCTCCGCAAACCGTGAGCCACATGAAGCCCTCTGCCCTCCAACCTCGGTGAGGGCATTTTGTCTCAGCAAGGAGAGAAAAGTAACCAAGACAAAGGATGATAAAGAATAATAATGAACAACTCCATGATAATAAATCATGCATCTGTCTATAAATTCATGAAACTTCGGTTTCCATAAACATCAGTTTTTAAAGATGTTGGCTTGGATGCACTAATACTGGGGCATTTTACCTATTCCAGTATATTTAACAAAAATGCATGTAAATTAATTATATTTCTTAAATTTCAAATAGTTTTTGTAGATTTTACATTATTTGATGAAAAATTTAAAGTATTAAGTAACTTACCTCTCATGTATTACTGCCATGTGTTCATTTAGCAGGGAAATGTGTATTTCCAGTCACTTCATGAATGTGGCTGAAACTAAGCATGGTATCTCTTGCCTGTGGTCCCAGCCATTCTGGAGGATGAGTCAGAAGGATCCCGAGTTTAAGGCCAGACTGGCAACTTAGTAGTGAATCCTCATCTCAAAATAGAATTGTTGAAGAGGGGATATGTGTATCCAGCTCAGGAGTACTTGCCTCGTGTATATATATCCTTGGATTCAATCCCCAGAATCAGAAAAAAAAGGACTATTTGTTGTATGCAAAAGGCACACACTTAAATTATCTTCCTAAAAAAAGAAAAGAAATTGCTAATTTAGCTCAATACATGTAAGAAAGTAACAATGTGAAATTTCAGTCTGAACTGAGCTAGTGAACTGTAAGTATGTACTGTCAAAAATTTTGATTTTCTTGGTGCCCAAAGTGACATACATCAGTTTAGAAGAAATGTTTCACAAATGAATCCCTTTAGCAACAGCAAATGGATGAGGGAAATTAAGTAAAATGAAGTAAATAAAATTATGTGGTCAACCAGCATTACCACTGCTCCAGCTCTCTTTCGGGGAAACTTTCAGGCGAGCACAACAACGTTTCTTTGATTTTGTCTCTGCTCTCCTCTCACGTCAGATCTTTCCATATGAATTTCAATTGCAAATTCATCGGTGGCTCTGTAATTGGAGAGAGGCATGAGGAAAGAGTAAAGGTCATCTCGGAGAGGGTCTGTGTCCTCTCCTGCATTCCCTGCACTCCCTCTGCAGTGGGTCGGTAAATGTCCTTCCCCTCCATTGCATTTGAAAGGCAACTTCTTACCCACCCACCCACATCCTAGTCTCCACAACACTGGTGTATTACTTACTTATTTAAATTTAATACGTTTTTGCTTGTTTTGAAGTAGGTAACTTTGAGACACCTAAATTAGAAATCAGAATAAACAGGTTATAATACCTGTACCTGTCAAAGTGAAATGGGTCCCAACTTGGATAAACCCCTCAACTTGCACAGGCTTTGATTTTCTATTGTAAGCTCTGGATATATTACTATGGCAATATATTTTCATGATTGCCGTGATCAAAATTCCTGACATTCACCCTGTAGATTTGCTATATCTTATAAGTAGAATTTTTAAAGGAAAACAATTAGAAATCTAACCTTACATTTGCAGTCATTCTTAAATTTAGTTTTCAAAAGATCTTGCTGGAGTCTTCTACTTACTGAAACAATAAACTAGGAATTTCTACTGCTCTTTTGATAGGTTTAAACTTACCAAAAAAAATGGATGCTTATGTAAATGACAAAGGACTTGAAGTGCAGGTCTCACAAAGTTGCCTTCGAAGTTTTTAGCACTTACAGTACTGAAAAGGGCAATCCTCAGCAGAATATTTATAAACCAAATGCAAAACTCTACGTCTACATATTTAGGCTTCTGATTGATTTTATTTTATTTTTGTACTGGGGATTGAATTCAGGACCTTGCACTTTCAAGGCAGGCATGAGGCCACTGAGTGAAATCCCTGACACATGCTTCCAATTAATTTAAATGAGCCAAAAATTTGATTGCAAGTGGATTCCAGGAAATGTAATTCTCCAGGCTTCAGCTCCAGAGGTTCCGAACTGAAGAGGGAAGTGCAAAATCCAGGCATAGCAAACTCACAATTTTCCCTTGATGTTCTTTAAATGGTGAGAGGTGTGAACACCTGCAATTCACCATTGAGCAAAAAAGAAAAAGCAATGGTTAACACACAAATACTCACCTAACACAGGAAAGGAAATATCCGTAGTCACTGTGGCTCTGGTTGATGGTATCTTATAGTAAATATGCTTACGTCGTTGGAAAGAAAGTGTCAGGATGTCTACAACTTTCTTTAATTGTATTAGTATTATATATTACCTCTCTATATCATAATGTTAATCAGTGCTAGTAGTTATTTCAGTTACTAAGTAGTAAATTTAGAAGAAAACTCAAAATCTAAGCAGTATATATACATTTGTGCAAACACATATGAGTATTTGCAATGGGAAATCATTTCATAAAGGAGAATTTTTTCCCCAATAACTTTCACTTTTTAATGTTATATAATTTCCGATAAAAATGTTGATTATATTTCATTAAAAATATGCCCAGCTAATCTACCTTACAAACATGGTAAGTAGCAAAAAACTTGATTCCTGGTAGAGTTCACAATCAATTAACCAATATTCCTATGTTCTTCTTCATAATTACATTGATATTTCATAGGTTCTACTTACATTGGAAGAATTTTTAGTATCCAAGTATTTTAAAAAAGGAAAATATAACTAAAAGCCAAAAAATAGTCAGAATATATTTAGTTTTAATTTGAAAATGTTATCTTGGAAGTAAAGCAAATGGTTGAAAAATTAAGGTGTTATTTATAGCTCCTCACTGGAAGAGCTTAAAGCAAATTATGAGTTTATCTACCAACATCCAAATTGTTCAATGTAATAACAGCTTTAGGACAATTATTCTGATCACCTGAGGGAGGAGAATCAAAGAGCTTCTTAGGTTTTATTTATTTCACAGTAGAGAATGACCTCAGATGGAAACAAGAAATGTGTCTTTCCTGTGGTGTGAAGAATGGAGGATGCAAATAATTTATTAATCTTCTAGGAGGCAAATAGTAATCACTTAAATGTAGCCAAGCTGAGTCACATAATACAAGGAATAAATTATTTAAAAATGTGCTCCACACACACAGGCACATACACAGATAAAACTGAGCAAGACTAAAAGCCTAAAATTTTGATAAAATGACATATTTTGACAAAAATTTGTTTTTAGTTGGATTGAAAGAAAGAATAAATGATGACATTTATAGATATAGATAACAAAACATTTGTGGTACAAAAAGTCCAAGGGCCAAGGATTTAGCTCAGTGATTCTGCTGCCTGCTTCTCAAGTGCAAGGTCCCAAATTCAATCTCTGGTACCAAAAAAAAAAAAAAAAAAAAAAAAAAAATTAA